TCAACTTGTGCAAATCTTTCAGTTAAAACAACCACATCCAAAGTTTAATTGTGAACGGACCAAACCAACAATACTCGTCGAGCTTCACTTGCACGTTTTATTTTTGTGAACGCTGCTCAGTTAACCCTCATTCATATTGGTGTCCTACCACGAATGTGAAAGGAAGAAGCTGAAAGAAGCATTCGTCACATGCATCGTTTCGGTTCACAATGAACGCGAAAAATGGTAAGTTTTTCTTGTTATGTCGAAATCCGGGAAGTTCACTGTTTGAATTTGGTAAGCGTTGAANTGAACGAACCAGTGTTCTATTTTCTGGTTGATATGGTGAAACAACGAAACCGGTACAATTCACGGTCACTCCGTTATTGGTCGGCTATCTGTGACAGATGAGAAGATACATCAACGTCAGTCAGCCATGTTGTCAGTGTTCATGAAGTGCTTGAGCTCGTCTTACGAAATGATGTACCCAGCCTTGCGGAGCAAGAGGATTAGCTGATTTTTGACAGCCAGTAGTCACACATTCGGTCCATACTCCTTTCGCAACTCAGTACATTTAACGTCTTCCGCAGAACTGGAAGACCGGTGCCCGCTGTTCGGTCTATGCGCACGTCCCGAAACTTGTCATGTTCATAATAGTTGAACAAGAGATGGTTAATGCTGACGCATGTCAGAGTGCTCTCATCAGGCTTTTATGGCTAGAGCGCTGACCAGGGGATAAACTGTCATTTCCTCCAGTGCTGCCGCTGATAGTCCGCGACCGCTAAGCGATGAGATATTCATAGATAACCATCTGGGTGATGAATCTTCCGCCCACGACCTGGAGACACTTTCGGTGCTCCTTTCCTGGATCCGGGTCAGAGCTGGGGTCGTAAAAGATAACAGACGAATCGCGATGGCCCTATTTGTTGGGTATAAAGAAGCTGTTACATTGTTTATACGTTCACGTTTCAGCGTTCTGTCCACTTGCTCCAGGACTTGCAAGTTAAAGTTCCTGGTTGCAATTCGCAATGAATCACTGATTTTTCGGCGCATGTGCGAAATAAATCTTAAACTAAAGGTTAAGTTGCTTATATGGGAAAAAATCTCATTGGTCCCGTTCTTTCTGTAAATGTATCAATCCCTGAATATTTTTAATTATCTGTCAGTATTTTGCAAATCTACAGACCAAATAAAAAGTCAGTTTCTGTCCACCATACTTGATTGAATGAGATCCCTTAGCATCGAATCCATGCACATCTAATGCGAAGTTATCACACGAATATACATATCAAAACTATCCCCAGATACTACCTCAATTTCTCCCACCATGAATTCACTTTCACTCTTCTCGTGTGTCGAGTTATTCCAAAACTATTATTCGCCTAAAGACAAACAAGTTAGCGTTTTCGTAACTTCATCTTAAAAAATTTACAGTTGTGTTTATATCTGAAATAGAAACAAACCTGATTAGTTCATTGGGGTTAAATGGGGGAGAACAACAACATCTGTCAGTTTCCATGAGGAAAGAGTAGGGGGAGGGCGGAAAGGTGAACCAGAGTCAATTCTGAAAATTTCAGGTGCCTTGCCTTGCTGTCTAATCGTGAAATAAATGAGGTCGTGGTTCGATTCGCCACGTAAGTTGGAACAGGGCCTAGGCAACTTATTCGATCCAAGCGAATTCCGACCTATGGCGTTCTAAATAAATCAAATTATGTCAACTTTCATGTCTCGGCACATTCGAGGCTGTTTTTATACATATCGTTACTAGTTAAAACAATAAGAAAGTGCGCTAAGAACAAACGGAGGAAACGGTGCCCTTCACTCCAAGTCGAATTTTGATATCTTTACTCATAATGAAGCTATAGAAGATCAGTTTATTTAGTCTGAATGTTCACGGTTTCGCAAACAAACAAAATATCCCTACAATACGCAATCTCATATTCGTTGGCCTTATTAATATGGGCAAAACCAGTGGAGCCAACGAGCTGCCCTCGATGAATATTTCTGTAGTAGTCGAAACAGAAATCGACTAGCGCGAACTCGGTATCGGACTGAAAACCCACGGAATAGCGCAAAGTCGGGTAGAAACAAAATGGGCTGTGGATACAGTTAACTCGATTCTTGAATGTCCAATCGACAACGATATGGTGTATCTG